AAGAACATAATCTGTGATGACATCAATGAGCATCAGTAACCACTTATCTCTAGGTGTATTGTTTTGTAATATGAAACATTAAGCTACTTCTATTTAAAACTTTTAGGGTATCACTACCTTTAAAGTGAGTTTACTTTAAATTGTAGGCAGAGACATTCAAACTTACTCAAATGATTTTTAAGAGGGACTTTGGCGAACTGGGGTACATCCACATGACAAATAAAGGTAAAGCATTTGAAAACCATCTTTTGAAAAATAAGGGATTATGGATGCTAAGCCTAGAAAAGAGACTTGGCAAGAGATAATAACCACCTTGTATGTGAATAAAAAATGTAGGACCAAAATGTAGTACAAGAGAGATATTCTAACTCTCTAATAGGAACAAAATGGCCAATTAGAACTACTTAGAACAAAGTTTTATCCAGTAGACTGTTTTCTCATTAGGAATTTCAGCTCTAATTTGGTGACCCCATGTTGGAAACTGGATTTTTTTTTAATGTTTATTTTTGAGAGAGAGAGAAAAGGAGAGCACACACAAGCTTGTGAGGGGAGAAGAGGGAGGGCAACAGACGGTCTGAAGCAGGCTCAGCACTGACAGCAGAGAGCCCCATATGGGGGCTCAAACTCATGAACCAGGAGATCATGACACAAGCCAAAGTCGGATACTCAACCTACTGTGACATCCAGGCACCCCTCTGGACTGGTTTTGAGTGGGAGGCTAAACTAGAGGACTTCTAAGTTTCCTTCCAACTCTTCTGCAATTTTATTCTTTGACTTAATGATATATTGCAAAACTGACTGTACAAACACGAAGGAAAAATAAATATAAAATCCCCAGTGTATATCGTTTTTATTATTTGTGCTTCAATTTTTAAAATTGGTCACATACCATAATGGTCTCTGGACATATTAATGAAGCTACACAAAAAGTGGATCAAAACAAAATCAAGCTAAAGCCCCCCCAACAAAACATATTTACAAGAAACTGAATTCTGAAGGCAAAAAGTTGGGGAGGAGACTCACTAAAAGATACATGTAAAAATTACAAAGTATTAACTGTACCCCCACTAAAATTACAGAAAAGGTTTAAATACATTTACAATATTTCTCAAATATCTGTACTAATGTAGCAAAAACCTACCAGTTTTAATAAAGATATGCTTGGCCTGGGCATGGTTTGATTGATATAATATGGGAATTCCTTAAATTACGGAAACTTATAGAAATGGGATATAAAAAAATTGCTTAACTTGTTCATTCCATATCCCTCTTCAGACTCTTTTACCTTCATAACTATTGTTTCGTACAAAAAAACTCTTGTTCAATTGCAAGGGATGAAGAAAGTAAAAATAAATCAGAGTAAAGAAAGCAGCAAATGAGCACATGTACCCCAATGTTTACAGCGGCACTATCGACAATAACCAAAGTATGGAAAGAGCCCAATGTCCATCAATGGATTAATGGATAAGATGTGGTATATATATATATAATGGAGTATTACTCAGCCATCAAAAAGAATGAAATCTTGCAATTTGCAACAATGTGGATGGAACTAGAGTGTATTATGCTAAGCAAAATTAGTCAGAGAAAGACAAATATGTGACTTCGCTCACGTGGAACTTAAGATACAAAACAGATGAACATAAGGGAAGGGAAGCAAAAATAATATAAAAACAGGGAGGGGGACAAAACATAAGAGACTCTTAAATATAGAAAGCAAACAGATTGCTGGACAAGTTGCGGGTGGGGGGATGGGCTAATTGGGTGTGGGGCATTAAGAAGGACACTTGTTGGGATGAGCACTGGGTATTCTATGTAGGGGATGAATCACCGGATTCTAGGTCTGAAATCATTATTGCATTATATGCTAACTAACTTGGATGTAAATTAAAAATTAAAGAAAAAGAAAGCAGCAGATGATAATCATACCTGTCTGTGCTAATTATGCTAATAAGTATTATGAAGCAAATATCTTGAATTTGAACAAAATGCTAAGATGCCACATTATTGCTATACTAATAAAATGTCTCCAGTAGCAGTGAATTTCCTCACTGTTCATATCAAAATTAGAATCTTAACAGTTGTGGGCCTATCATTTTTTGAAGAATTGAATTTCTGCATGCGCCAATTTTTTCACATTAAAGAATTTCCATATCAGGGGCACGTGGGTGGCTCAGTCGGTTGAGCAACTGACTCTTGACTTCGGCCCAGGCCATGATCCCAGAGTTGTAGGATCAAGCCCTACATCGCTCAGCGTGGAGCCTGCATGGAATTCTGTCTCTCTCCCTCTGCCCTCTCCCCAATTTGCATGCTCTCTCTCAAATCAAAATATATAAATAAACAAACATTTTTAAAAAAGAATTTCCATATTAATTTTTTTGCCTTAGGTTTTAATTGAAATGAATTCCTTACCGTAAATCTCTTTCAAATACTTTATTATTGGAATATTGTCCAACATATTCCTTATGCTGTATTTGTTTACTATGGTTACTTTGAAAATTTCCTGCTCTGATTATATATATTTTAATTGGAGTGATTTTAAATATTGTGAATGATAGGTTCTGATCATACCCTTATATTTATTTCACTCATATCCTTTAGAAATACTCCTGATCTCTACTTATTTAAGCTTTCGTTCATATATCTATTTTTATTCTCATTTATTCTTAATGGCATTTGTGATGCAGTATTTGAGTTTGTCGTATCAGCCGAAACAATGCTGCTAAATGGCTGCAAGAAAAAGAATAAATCACCTCACTGGCTCTCCTCTTCTCCATCATGCTCAAGTATTTCTTTACTAAATGAGCAAATATCTTTTCATATAAACAGTGAAGAGTTAAGAATGAGTGATTTTACTTAACACTCAGTTTAGTGTAACTTGTAAAAAAGGAATTGACTTTTGATAGAGGACACAAGCAAACTGAAAATAAAATCTAATTTATAATATAGTACTGCCTTTTTGTCTAAATGGTTTCAAATCTTTTAAAACCCAGTTTACTCTTCTTGTGATTTAGTGGTATGTTTTCTTCTAAGAACAAAACATTACCACACATGTTTTATTACACAAGTAGGAAAAAAAGACATTAAGTTGATTTCATATTTCTTAAAATTTTTCTAAGATTCAAATTATCAAATCTGCCAAGACTACACAATAGTATTAGCAACATATATGCTACATTTCAATACTGTACAGTAATGTGCATTTTCCTCCACCCTACAAGAATTCATTAGATATCTAATAGTTGATAAAAACAATCATGCTTACATTTTTGCTTCCTGTTACCTTTTGTATTTCTCCAAAAAAGGCGGCAAAATATTAAAAAAAAACCTTATCAAGTATTACAGTTTAATGAAGAAATGAGTGTTTTAAAAACATTAGTTACTGATTTCATGTTTCTATATCCTCTGTAAGTCTAGTTTTTAGTATTTTACATTTTCTAAAATAAACTGAAGCTTAGTTCAAAATTTACTTTCCTTACCATCTCTAGAACGAGTACAAAAATGAGATTTTTGTACTTTAAGGAATTAGGCACTACTGATCCTGTGTATTAGTCCATTTGTCAAAACTGAAAACTATTTCAGCCACTACTCTTTTGGCCTTGTTTCCATTTTGTTTGGCTGATTCCACTGTCAGATCTTCATAGCCACAACACCATATGTTACACTCAAAGCCAGATGACATTCTGGCACTGTAGCAGTTTCATGAAGTGATGTGCTAATTTTCTGTTTTGTGATGGTTTGTGATAAATCAACTACAAATTCAGATACTAAAAATTCTGAAGAAAACACAATCACAAATTTCTCCATTGCCTACCTTTTCCTTTCCCTAAAGACTCAGTCTGTCCCTTTAAATAACTACCACTATTTACTTTCTACCTGTGTTCCAGCTCCCCTCAATCCAACACAGAGGAGAAACTTAATACCTAAAAAACATCCTTGATACCTCATCCACTCATTTTATTCTTTCAACAGATTTATTGAGCACCTACTATGTACCAGCCACTGTATGAGGCATAATGAATACAAAGCTGAACATTGACAACAAAAACACAATTCCTGTCCTCATGGGGGTTTACAGTCTAGAGGGTCTACATTAATCAAATAAATACATATGAAATTACAAAAGATGTTCAATGCTAAATAGAGGTACGTGTTTATGTGATAACGGACAACAGTGAATCTTACTGTGTGACCAAAATTAAGGAATGCTTCCCTGAGGAAGTGATGAATAAGCTGAGACCTGAAAGACAAATACGAATTCAACTAGGCAATGCAACAGGGAAAGGTATTTCAAGCCAAAGGAACATGAACAGAGGCTCCTGTGGTGGAAGAAGCACTTTAATTCCCACTTATTCCAGATACTTGAAGTGCAATGAAGTAACAAAGTAACCTGAACACAATGTACAATTATGTACTAGCCACTGTTTTGTTTGGACATTAACTCTTTTAATACTCAGAATTATACTATAAATAGTGGCTCTAATTTAGAGGTCACATAAATATTTCTGTTCTCATCTTAAGAGCAAGAAAAAGCTGTTACAGTAGGGTGAGAATAGGGATGGGGGGAGGGGGTTTGCCTTGATTGAAACTGCATTTCAAAAGAGAGTTCTGCCTGCAGTAGAGTGAATCAGAGGAGGCCCAGAGGAGCTGTAGGAAGACCAGTCAGGAGACAATTGCAGTAAAGCAGGTAAAAAGTGCTTATGGTAGTGAGAGAAGTGGTGAGAGTAGAGAGAAGCAGACGAATATGAGAGATGATAGGACCTGGTAAAGACCTGACAGTGGAGGGGAGGGCAGGGGGTGGGGAGGTAGAGAGAGGAATCTCTCTAGGAATAGTTCGAGGTTTCTAGTTTGAGAACCAGGATGATGGTGGTACCTTTCACTGAAATAGGAAATGTCTTGATTAGAGTGGAGATTAACAAGAACTTTCAAAGTGGAAGTTATAACTCCTGTTGTGACAAACACCAAACAACTACAATTAAAATCCAGAAAGGAGTTTCTGGTTAATTTTTCCACATATATTTTCATGCAATCACACCTAGCCATTCTTACATGGCTTAAATAAAAATAACACTTCATCACAGTTAATGTCACATTGGTGGGCTTTTGAAATTCTAGGACAAAGTGACATAAGAAAAAAAATACAAGATACCAAGAAAATGTTTTTGATGTACATAAAATTAAAAGGCAAAACACAATTATCATTTTAGCCCCGGATCACTAACATCTCTGCTAGAGATTCAGTGCAAAAAAATAAAAATAAAAATAAATAAAATAAAAATATGGCAACTTTTTTCCTACTTTATGGTCATTAAAAAACTCTGGTAAGTTTATCATAGGTTTATTCCTGTATTTCTCACACTGTGAAAAAGGTTAGGGTTAACTTAAACAAAAATTTTCCCACTATCTTCTAAGTAGTTTGAAAAATATACACACATCACACTTGTACAATTAAAATTATTATATTTATCTTAAAAAAACAGATGAAAGTAAGTAAATGATTCCTTTCCCTACCTCTGGCAAAATCTGAGAACTAATGACAAAGGTAAAATAAAAACATATAATTGGGATTTAAATCAAAAGGGCAGGTTATTAATTGTGATTTCAGTCAAGTCACTTATTCTTTTTAGGCTGTAGGGTTTGTTTGGTTGGTTTTTTTTTTTTTTTGTAACTTTTAAAATGTGAGTAATACCTACCTCCCAGATTTGTTGTGAGAATTACATGAGATAATGTTTTTCAAAGTGCTTTATGAATTTTGAATCTCTATAAAAATAGTACTCACTATAAATTTTAAAAATTCCAACAAAGCATATAAGAACACTCAAATCCATGTTAATTATCACCTCTACTGTTTACACGCTTCTTGAGAAGGCCAAGTAAACTGAAAAGGAATAAGGAAAGCATTCAACTTCTGTAACACGAAACAATTACACCATAAATTTAAAACTTCTATAGAGCAAATAGGGCAGTCCTGAGAAACTGTCAGCTCTGAAGAGGTTAATGTCCCATCAATCCCGCTTTTCTAGAAGAGACTGCTTTTGTTGAATACCTACAAATCTAAAGTACTCTACACTAAAGACATAAGCTATATGTTTTACATCTTTAATTAGACCTTTGCTTTTAACCTAAGACTATTACATAGTTGTAGATTAACATATTTTAAAGATGATTTTTAAAATACTCTGAGGTGAAAAATTAACAATTTAATTCGTTCTTTGCTATATCCTCAGTTCTCACAACAGGGCCTGTATTTTTAAATAATGTCAATGAAAATGGATGTTACAGAATAAAAAAAGGGCAGTATTGTTTTCAGTGAAATCTGAATCATTCCAACACTTAGTGTAAATGAAACATGTATTTTTTTCCTCCAAGTATTACGATATAGGGATGGCTGTAGACATCATGCCAAATGAGCAAAGCACCATAAGTGTCGTAATGTTGTTTAAAATCTTCAAGTATCTTAAAGAAAGAGTAGTCTGATCTGTTTCATGTTATAGCTTGGATATATTTATGTTTAAGAATGTGAATTTTAAAATAGACCCTACTTAGTTTAATTCTATCAGAAATATATTTTAAGTCTTTAAAAACGTTTGTTTCTTAAACACTCATAAACTTTTATTTCATAACGCATGATTTTCTCTCTCACGTTGGTTTCAACCTTAACAAGCCTTAGAAAATAGAATTCAAAATTTACCATTATTCTTATTATAGAAGATAATATTTATATCACAGAGACCTTTAATCAAAACTAGCTTTATAAATACAATATGTGTAAATATCTACCTAATATGTTACTACAAGAATGGTATGAAATTGTTTATGTATATGAAAAGAAAATTATCTGAAAACATTTCCCTCCTTAAATAGAGAAAAGATAAAGAAATAATATAAATAGTATTAATTAAAATTCTTATAGTTACAAATGCTACCAAATTTAGGATAGTTAAATTATTCTTTTACTTCTAACAATAACTGTTTAAAGGAATGTACAAGTAATGCTTTCTAAATCAGTTGGCCATGTACTGTAATGCTTTGCTTTTTTACAGTTTGTGCTTTTTATTTTTACATTTGTACGACCTTTTAGTTGAAAATTATAGCTTATTACAGTTTATTATTCATTTTAAATGATTTCTCTTTCACATTTTCAAGTTACTTTGTAAATTCAGTAGGGTGATGATTTTCCAGAATTTTCAAACCCAGTCCATATAATTTATTAACTTGATTGGACTTTTTTCACAGTAATTAAACAATTACAGATTTAAGTACATAATTTTAATAACATTTAAAATGTAGGCCTCCTTTTAATTACATTAGCCCTAAAAGCATTTGAATATTTGTAAATAATAGTAAATTATTAACAAATAGTGATAAATAAAATCAGCAATTTGTAGGGACACAATAGCTTTCCATTTTTCTTTTTAAAATGTGCCTATAATGTGATATCAAAATTAGGAAATGACACCTTCTTTCCATTAGGCATGTAATTATTTTACAGTATGTGTTTACTTCCCCGTATCATACCAGTTTAAAAGAGGGTTAAACCCCAAAACACAAAACAACCAAAAGATTGTAATGCCTGTACCTATTTCTAAACTGGCTTTGGAATAGTCACCACTTCATCACGTTCTATTTCATTTTATTGTCTTTTCATGAAAAGGAAAGTCTTCCACTACTGGTAACATAATATTATAAATATAACCTCTGTACTCCAGAGCTATAATTTTAATTTTTGACAGCCATTCCTGCTATTCAACTGTCATCTTCTTTATATGATGAAGAAGAGCATCTTTTTCCAAATGAGCCTCCGCAAGAGCCATTTTAGCCTTGGCCAATTCCTGTTTAAGAAATTCATTTTCTTCCATGAGCTGAAATGATAAATTTGGAAAGTAAGAGAATTTAATCGTTTTCAGAATATAGACTATTTACATAGTATCCGAACGTGTGACACTTGGGATAGTAAGAATACCCAATGCTGGGGAGAGTGGACTTAAGATGAAGCACTGTACAAATCTAATAGTGATTTTGTTTAATTTCAATTCCCCTTGACCTCTCTGTGGTTTTACACACTGCGGACCTTGCTCCTCCTTCCTAGGCCTCAGTTCTTTCATGTTTATCTCTTTCTACCCACAGACTTTTCTTCTTTTCCTCTGCTGTTTAAGAATCCTTAAATGTTACTACTGTGTTAGATTCTATAATTGGTCACCTTGTAACTTGAGTCACTCTCTTAGATCTCATCTACTCCTATGGCTCATAACTTGATCTAGCATCAAATTTTGTCTTGCACAGGCCCATATTCTGAATATCTCACTAAACATTATCTAGATGGCCAATAGGTCTCTCCTTCATATTAAGACTCAGTTCCAGTACGTGAGCCTCTTTGAACTATTCCCTAACCCTTAACTATGAAGATTTAATGATAAAACTAAGACTTTTCTCACCTCCAAAACACATTTACACAGATACATTAATACATATATATTTAATTTCAAAAAGTTCTCAAGACTTCTTTGGTTCTAGCTTAAGAATTCCTGCCTTATAGGAGCACATGTACCCCAATGTTCATAGCAGCACTCTCCACAATAGCTAAAACATGGAAAGAGCCTAAGTGTCCATCAACAGACGAATGGATCAAGAAGATGTGGTTTATCTATACCATGGAATACTACATGGCAATGAGAAACAATGAAATCTGGCCATGTGTAG